TCTCTCTCTATCTCTATCTCTCTCTCTCGAAGGACAAATGAAATGCCACCGATAATATTCGCCCACCACCACCACCACTACCGCCGGCAACTGCCGCCGTATTTAGGGCATAGATTCTGCTGACGACTTGGAATAAGTTCTCGCCACGTATCATTTCCAGGGCCGTAGCTAGCGGGGGGGGGGCAAAATTGCCTCCTAGAAAAAATTGATATAATACATAGTCAATGGCGGTCACCACCCCCGAACACGCCACACGCGTGGCTTTGCACCCTCCCCAGACAAAATTGGGTAGCTACGCTATTATTAAGTGGTTTTCTAATGCGTTAATTCTAAGTCGTCACCACTTAGAATTGTCTTGGATATAGAACAACCATTTGAAATCTTAACAACACGTTTTTGCCCGAATATCTTTCGCTGATTCACTATTGGTTTGCAAAACAAAGCAAATAATTTAATCTGCACTTCTATACTTGGTTCCCATGTCAATATGAGTCTCACATCTATAATTTCTGTATGTCATGTCCTAATGTTGATGGTATGTGTGACCAGAACTTTTGTTACCGTTTATTGCGGCATTTATGTTTTATTTGACTACTTTATACCTAGCTTAAGAAACGACTCCAAAAGTTACAGGTTTCCGAGAAGTACTGATGGATGCACTTACGCATAAATCACATATTCTAATCAACATTTTTTTGGAACACAATAACGATGCGTGTTTCAACGCGACCCAGTGACCTTGCTCTGATGACTAATATACTAGCGGGACCTTAGATCGGACTAAGAAGTATTCCTTATTTTAATCTTTCAGATCTACTGTAAACGTATAAAAACACGCAAAACTCTCAATTATTGTCTTGATGGCAACAAAATCTTGAAAATCTCCGTTTAAAAAAATAGTGAAAATAGTGTGGGGGTGCGCGCGCGCGCGAGTGTGTGTGTGTGTGTGTGTGTCTGTCTGTGTGCGTGTGCGTGTGTGTGTATGTGTGTGTGTCTGTGTGAGTGTGTGTGTGTGTCTGTGTGAGTGTGTGTGTGTGTGTGTGTGTGTGTGTGTGTGTGTGTGTGTGTGTATGTGTGCGTGTGTGCGTGTGTGTGTGTGTGTGTGTGTGTGTGTGTGTGTGTCATCAAAATGAGAATCGCGGCAATGATTTATGGACTTCTTGTCCTAATGCTGATGGTATGTATGAACCATAGTTTAGTTCCATTGGTTCATATGTTGGTTACATTTATTTTTTGCGGCATTCATGCTTTATTCGATTACTTTACCTAGCTGAAAACGATTAGGAAAGGTTCAGGTCGCCGTCAGGTACTGATGGATGCACTTGCGCAAAAAATCACATATCCTATCAACATTTTTTTGGAACACAATAACGATGCGTATTTCAACGCGACCAGTGACGTTGCTCTGATGACTAATATACTAGCGGGACCTTAGATCGGACTAAGAAGTGTTCCTTATTTTACCCTTATACAGCCCCTGTTGCAAATATAGCAACACGCGGAATTCTCAATTATTGTCTTGATAGTAACAAAATCACCGTGATTAAAAATAGTCTCCGTCTACCCACACTAACTGCATGGAATATAGCAATTGCCAGCATGCATTTAGAATCACCAACGATTGCGCTATTTTTTAAAGCAAGTCTGTGTCATGTGAGCTGATCCGGAACGACTTACTCAGTCGAGCTACATAACAGAATTAATTTTTGTTATTATATATTATATATATTATATATTATGTGTTCGTGTGGTGTGGCGTGTGTGGTGGTGTGTGCGTTCGTTTCGTGCGTGCGTGGCGTGCGTGCGTGCGTGCGTGTGTGAGTGCGTGTGTGTGTGTGTGTGTGCGTCTTGTGCGTTGTGCGTGCGTGCGTGCGTGCGTGCGTGCGTGTGTGAGTGTGTGCTGTGTGTGTGTGTGTGCTGTGTTGTGTGTGCGTACGTGCGTGTGCGTGCGTGCGTGGGTGCGGTGCGTGCGTGTGTGCGTGTGTGTGTGAGTGGTGATGTGTTAATCAGGGGCGATATCCAGGAAATTCGGAGGGGTGCTGTAAATTAGCAGCAGGCGGTTGAAGATACCCCATTGATTTTTTTGACTGTAATAACTGTATCGGTCTACCTTGAAATCCAATGTATTTTTAACCCCGTTATTTTACTGTTTTGTACCTGGTTGCATATATATATACATATATATATATAAACACGCAATACTATCAGTTTTAACAACATATTTTTAATTTCGATGCATTTCATTCTATTTCATCTGATAATCTTTTGCCACATACACACTAAAAGTAGGCATGTAGTCACTAAGGTAGGTGTGGAGGCGCCATAATCCCCTCGACCCACTAGCCGCCCCACTCAGTGATTTACTGTTTCTTTAATCAACACGATTTCATCTATAGTTTGACCCCTAACGTTATTTCTCTAACCAACTGTCATATGCGATTAATTTATCGGTATCTATACTATTATTTATATCTATACTCTATATTATAAGTAAATTTCTTTTAGGGTAAATCTATGTAATTAATCTCTTAGTAACAATTTCCTTAATCGTAGTTACACACTTGATAACGTTTAACGCGCCTATAATACCACAACAATTATAATTATACTAGATCCATTTCGTAATTTAGAGAGCTTCATCGTAGATTTGATTGGGTTATTGATTGAGTTATTGATTTGATTGATTGATTTGATTGATTGATTGCTAATTGATTGATGATTGATTGATTGATTGATTGATTGATGATTGATGATTGATTGATTTGATTGATTTGATTGGGTTATTGTCAGATCGCCGTCATACCAGCCGATCCCGGAAGATCAAGCCCTCGTGGTAAATCCCGTAGCTATAATGGACCTAGCGGCTTTAGGAGTTCAAGGCATTCAAGCAAATCCAAAGGCCATCGTGAGTGAATTCAACCTCTAACAGCTCAAGGTGGGTATAGACGGTAGGAATTGGTGAATTATTCTTAATTCAATGTAGATGCATGCATGCACGCGTTAGTATAAGTAGGGTATACCATCAAACTGGAAAGCTATATAATACGATCTGGCGTGATCGAGGTGTTATATATTTCCCAACATTTTTAATGTCAGTGTAACAATTCTATGTTAATTGTGTGTTACTCAACCGATTGCGTACATCCATATTAACATTTTTTATTTAGGGAGAGGCTTGAGAACGGACGTGACTCACAGGATATACCGGTCGGGAAAAACAATGCTGATGCTAGTGTAAAAATTTTACAATTTTTTTATACGTAAATATAATTGTTTAATACGCAGTACATAGGGGTCTAACAAAATTACAAAAAATATCGATAACGTTACTGAAATGCAGTTGCGTGTTTTAATTGTTTATTGATTATGTCTCGTTGATATTACTGGATGTGTTTTTGCTCAAACTTTTTGATAAAATGCCTCACGGTAACTAATAAAATGTAAACAATATTTTTGTTTACTATTTTTATTGAAAAATACACACAGTTGGGTTCACATTGTAGGCTCTAACATTCTGTAGAAAATACCAGCAAAAACAGAAGCGGACATCATAAACTGTAGATGAATAAACCCAGAGGGAAGGAAGGAACTGCAGATGGAATATACTCAGAAGGAAGGGAGGAACTGTAGATGGAATAAACTCAGAAGGAAGGAACTGTAGATTAATAAACCCAGAAGGAAGGAACTGTAGATGCAATATACTCAGAAGGAAGGAAGAGGAACTGTAGATGGAATAAACTCAGAAGGAAGAAACTGTATAGATGGAATAAACTCAGAAGGAAGGAAGGAACTGTAGAGGAATATAGCTACCAGAATGCGGGAGAAGACTGTAGATCTATAACACCCGCGCAAGGCAAGCAAGTACAACTACCTATACGACTGCGCCTGCACTCCACGAGACCAAGAAACCAGGACCATAGAATCAGACAGCGCAAGGACAAACGAGTATCATCGCTAAATAGGAAAAGCGGTGTAAAATATAAACCCGACTTATATTTTGCAGTGGCGATTAAACGCGCATTATAAGACACAGCATAGACATGATAGCAATCTTGAACTGTCACAACATACCTAGACACTCCACCGGTTGCGCGGGCCACGAGCTGCACACTGTGCGAGGGGGTTCTTTTTTTCGGGCGCCGGGTGTTTCGCGGCTTCTTCCTGTCCGTCACTTTTGTCTCTGCATTCCCTGTGTTGCTGTGTGTGCTCTGTGCTGTCGCTGCTGTGTCGTGTGTCGTGTGTGCTTGTCGCCTGCTCGCTCGTGTGTGTGTCTGTGGGCCGAGTAGGGTAACTTGATGTGTGATTTTGAAATAGCGAATCACAAATTACCTGTAACACAGTAATCTTGACACGTAGCGAGGAAGCTATAGGAAGTTCATCAGAGAAGATAGGCGGTGCTGTCCCTGACGCTGCTCTAGCTACGATCTCAGGTGACTGACTAGAAAAGCCATGAAACTCACAGCAGAAGAACGAACACTTCTCGCTTTTTACCACAACCACCCCAAACGAAAAAAACACAGACGAGATGGCAACGACGAACACCCAGCAAGAAGAAGTGACAAGCAGGGAACGAACCGAGCCTCCCGGGAGCTCTGAGAGCGAGGCTCTGTCACACACAAGCAGCAAGCAAGAAAGCTCGACAAACGTGGAAACCATCAATAACCCGGGAAGCAGAGAGAGCAGGGCGGCTCTGCCACACACCGACCACGGCTGGGCGTGGATGGTGCTGGCTGGTGCGTGCGTCAATACCTTCGTGCTGGGTCTCACGTCGGCTTGTTTCTCCGTGCTTTTCGCAGAGTTTGCGACCGTGTTGCGTGGGGAAAAAAGTACGATTGCCCTCATAGGATCGCTGCAAACTGGCATCACGTGGATGTTAGGTAAAGTATATAAATAAATATATATATAAATATATATATATATATATAAGATAAATTTAAATATAGAAATAGGTGTCAACATTTTATTACGCGAGCTTTCGAAAACATATGTCTCATTTTATCAGGCGACAACAACAGAATGGAAACACGTTATTTTTGAATACAATGCGATATGCGCGGTACCGTATTGTCGCCTGACGAAGAGAAATATGTTCTCAAAAGCTCGCATAATAAAATTTTGACACCAATTTCTATANAGATCTCATAGGAATCGCTGCAAACTGGCATCACGTGGATGTTAGGTTAAACGTAATAATATATATAGATATTAAAAAAATATATAATATATAAGATTAAATTTAAATATAGAATAGATGTCAAATTTTATTACGTCAGCTTCGAAAACATGTCTCATTTTATCAGGCGACAACAACAGAATGGAAACACGTTATTTTATTACAATGCGATATCGCGTTACCTTGTTGTCGCCTGACGAAGTAAACATATGTTCTCAAAGCTCGCATAAATAAAATTTTGACACCAATTTTTATTATATTTATTTCTCTTCATGTTCCGTGCTGTTTTTACTTATATATATATATAAATATAATATATATATAATATATATATATATATATTATATATATATATATTATACCTTATCTCGCCCAGAATCCGAACTGCTATCTATCCTCTGTCTCGCAAACTTTTACTTTTATTCAAAATGGAAACTCAACAAAGTATTTAAACATGGCGTCCGCTTAACCGCAAATCGTTAAATAATTATTAATTATTAATCGACTAACTGTAATGCATATCTTCTCCTCCCCCCAATTTTTTAACGAACTTCTTTATTCAATTTACTTGTGTTTTCCTTGTCGTCTGTAACTTTGCGATCAGTACGTTTCTGTATAACGTTAGTCACTATTTATGTGAATTACTTACTTCACCTTGTCGCCTGTATTAAAACTTAACTATTTAAAAGTTAATCTTAATAAGTCACTATTTAAATAAATTTACGGTTGCACAAGTAGCGATTGAACCGGCCGAGAAAGCTTCCTATAATTAGGATCAAATATATTGTCCGACGAACATTTGCCTTTATATATGTCATTAACCTTTCATTAACGTAACAATCCCATCGACTTTATATTCTTAGTACGTTTCTGTGCTATGATAGCCAGTATTTATGTTGATTACTTCACTGTGTACCTGTAACCCTGCGATCAGGGTCCCGTGTTTCGCTCGGCTGGCTGATGAGTACAGCTACCGTGTGATAGTGATAACAGGAGGATGCTGGCTGCGGGTGGAATGGGTCTCAGGCCTACGGAGCCAGAAACCATACACGTGACTGATCGGAGGCATAACGGTCTACTGACCAGGTAAAGGGAACAAAGTTGGGGAAAGAAAGCTTCCTCTAATATATAAAAAGAGAATTTTTGAGGATTGCCATATAATACTAAAGAATATGAGTGTGTGTGTGTTGCACCGCGTTTTTGCGTTTCAATAATGCGGTTATATTCGTTGTTACTCTAACGGTAATTTGTGGTTTTACTATATGTGTGTTCCATGGAAGTCAGGCTCACGTGTTGTTTTGTACTTGACTTGTGCACGTGTCTGTGCCCTTGAGCCAATGTAGATAACTTTATGATGCTGTCCTGTTTCAACGGAATGTGATTATTTGCAGGTTTTGATCTTGTTTTATTGTTCATGGCATTCTTAATAAACTAAGTCGTTTGGTTCTTCAGTAAAAACTGTAAAGTGTGGTCAATAGATCAGGCTAATATATAAAAAATTTCAAATAAAAATGTTACCGGATATTCACAGGTGGGACAACTTGCCGCATTTATTGATGCGGTACTGCCCAAACAAATCTGTTTTATTGCAGGTTTTGGCAGGGGAATGATTTGTACACATCGTTCGTCTCGGAGCACTGTACTTCGACAAGAAACGCTCCCTAGCTGCTGGTCTCCTATCCGCAGCCTACTCAGTAGGCTGCCTAGCCGGTCCTTTACTGTGCGTACAGATCATAGAGAGTTACAGCTGGAATGGTGCGATGATCATTCTAGGTGGCCTGTATCTGCAAAGTAGTTGCAGCTGGCGCCCCTCTTTAGAGAAATACCAAAAGCTACGAAGAAGTTCAAAGCAGCCGAAGCGACAGAAACGCATCGTACGTTATGCCGAAGCTCGAGGCGAAACTCGTCGTGCACTGCATCAGTAACTTCGAGTACATGTTTCGAGTGTACATCGTGTTAACGTACTGCGTTCTACTTGGCATCAGGCAGGGCATGAGTCTCACGCGAGCTGCTCAGATGATGACCGTACTGCAGGTTGCCAGTGCCATCAGCAGCTTCCTAGTGGCAGCCGTAGGAACCAGGCGATGGTTCCCAGGTCGTACGGTTTTCGGCATTAGCAGCATGGCGACTGGGATCATCAGCCTAATGTTTCTGCGCTCCGAGGAACTGTGGGTGTTTGCACTCTGCTGTGTGCTGTACGGGTGTAGCGATGGCATAAGAATGAGTATTCAGACACCTATTCTAGTAGATCTATTCGGCGTACAGAATCTACCGATGGTCCAGGCAATCTACAATCTCTTCACCGGTATCGGATTGCTGTGTGGACCCGTAGTTGCAGGTAGGCACGTTGTAACGTTTTAATTAAAACAAAGCAGTAAGGCCATTGAAGACAATTATACGGTAAAGATGAAGACAAATCAGAAGATGGTTGGTAGACAAATATAAGGCAATTGAAGAAAATAGAAGGGATTGAAAAAAAGAAAACTAATAGACGGTAAATGAAGACAAATAGAAGATGATTGAAGACAAATAGAAGGTAAATGAAAACAAATATAAGGTAATGGAAGGCAACTAGACGAGTGTTTGTTCGCATCGAACGGAATAGCAAAATAGGAAGTATGCTGCATCAATTTAACCATAAAAAAAGTGATACAGAACACTAATAACATTTGTAAAAAAAAAGTGGCCATAATTTTTTTACTTTTATTATTTACGGTGACGTAATCATTTTAAGTGACCATTAATTTGTGTGTGTGTTCTGCAGGCTTTCTCCTGGACTACACTGGAGACATGAGAGCAGTCTTCATCCTGTGTGGAGTGACGTGTATGGTCGGTACAGCCTTGCAAGGTGGCGCCTTCTATATTGACTACAGACAGGAACATACGAGAGAAGAACCAAGGCAGCTAACGCGCACGGAAATAGGGAAAACATTTTGGATGAAACACGATTTTAACCAATGCATAACGCGATAATGCAGTTAATACAGATCATACAGGTATAATACAAAACTGGATTATAATGATGCATTAAAGACGTGTTTAATCCAGACAGCAGCTAATAAGGGTTTATTCGGCAATGGCAAAAACGTAAACACAAAATAATATATTTATATTTATATTTATATATATATTAATACATATATATTAATATATATAAATATAATTTTCAATTCATTAAATTTATCACATTCCATAATGTTCACTAGACATGCCTGCCCTTCATCACCAAGCCACCGCCACCTGTAGCTGGCGGAGTAAGATATATCCATGAAACTGTTTTTGGAAGAAAACACGATTTTAAAGTGATTACGTCACCGTAAATAGTGTAAGTAAACAAAATATTTCCACTTTTTCACAAAATGTATGTAATTTTGTTCACTTTTATGGTTAAATTGCTGCCTTAAGTACTTCCTATTTTGCTATTTTCGTTCAATGTGAACAAGACACTCGTAAATCTCAAATGAATAGCCCTAATAGCAAAGCAATTAATGTCAGGATAATAATATCAGAGCGTATTAAAAAGGTAACCCTTCTTATAGCCTCTTGCATAATATCAAGAGTGCATAATAGAGATCACTCTATTGATCATGCTCTATCGCAGTCTCTATTATGCATCTCTATGCATCTCTATTATGCATCTCTATTATGGCATCTCTATGATCTTCTATTCAATCATCTCTATTATGGCACTGCTTGATAATATGCAAATTGTCTCAGGTTTCAACTAGTTGAGAAACAATCTTATCAGGTAAGAATTTGACGATAAATTTAGTCCCGTTAGTACTTACTTTTAGTTTACTTTTAGTTGGTAAAAAATGGCAACAAAACTTTTTACAAATATACACCATAGAAATATCGCGACGTAGTCAATTTAACTAATGCCTTATACGTACATAATTGAATTTCAAAGATGAATTAGAGACGTGTTTTGGTCACACTGCAGCAATAAAACGTAGTTCTTTGATCTCGATGTGTACGTCGAGGAGCCTCGATAGGCGAATTACGACGGGTTAACTGTAGTTAAACTGGCAATGGCAATACGAATCCTAGAATGAAATTATACTATTTCCAATTCATTTCACCGATCTTATTCCACAATGTTGCAAATCTCACCCACGTAGCGGGAGATGCTGGTTGTTAACAAAGATTGATATGTGTCAATAAAAACGCGCATATTGATTTGCCTTAAAATTATTGATGGTTGATTATTGATTATTGATTGCCCTAACTCTAACCCTAACCCTAACCCTAACCCTAATCCTAACGCTAACCCTAACCTATAAGCGCCTAACCCTAACGCTTAACCCTGAACGCCTAACCTAACTCTAATACTAACGCCTAATCCAGAACGGCCTGTTTGCTCCACGGGACACACCGTAGACAATAACTGAGGAAACGGACATAATATGGACATTACGGTAGAATTCACTAATTCAGGGATAGACTCAGAAGAACGGAATCGTAGATAACAGTAGTGGAAGGTGCGTGAGATGCGTAAGTTGCCTAAGTCAAAACACACACAACGTGCACGACCATGGCACAACCTTCATGTCCGTCTTGCTACGTGACACTCCGTAGAAAATAATTGTAGGATTAGACGCTTCACCATAGATGACATTATCAAAAGGATGAATAGCACCTGATTTTAACAAACTTATAATTCTTTATACCATGTTATACATTATTATTATTATCCGAATTGTATAATCACAGACAAATTATAATTTTCAAAATAACAAATGAACGAAAATGAACCACTAAAAGTGTGGTTGTGCTGCCGTTTGAGATCAACTGACACGGAGTGCATAATAAAAAAGTATAAATTTGGCATAAATTTAACTCGGTATTAACAAAGTTTTGGCTTTTTGCTTTAAGGCCTATTTATCGTCATTGATATATCTACAAAATATGGCTGTATTTAACAATTTTGGATAAGCCTATGTTGGTGTCCGACACCACGGGCCTTACAGCTGAGATCGGTGAAGGCGTGAGCTTCATGCTCACTCGCGGCCGAAGATGACCGACGTCAGAAAATCGGCCTCTACTCTCTTATAATAAAAGGGATTATATTAGTATCAGAGTTATAAAGACAAATTTTGTTTTATTAACTCCTGATAAGTAATCTAATGAGTCCCTGTCTGACTGCCTCCTTGCGCCCCCTACCGGCGTTGTGCGGCGCACAGGTGAGAACGGGAGTCATCGCCGCGCTCGTCCAATCAGGTCCCGCTCCGCGGACAGGCCACGCTTGACCTGTTACGTCACTGCCAGCACGCGGCCAGGGCGCATCGAACAGGAGGCTGAGCATGACGATGAGAGACGCTAAAGATGCTGCGACAGCGAGAGGGAGACGAGAGAGCGTTTCGATGGTAACGACGACGCACGCTGCAGACTGCGCGCACAGGCGCCCGCTTCAACACTGATATTCTGCTAGTCTGCTGCTGCTGCTACTACTGCTGCTGCTGCTACTACTACTACTGCTGCTGCTGCTACTGCTGATGCTGCTACTGCTGATGGTGATGTTGTTGTTGTTGATGATGATGAGGGTGGTGATAACGAGGATGCTACTGATGAAAGCTACGTCGAATCTTTGCTTGGTTTTTGTAAGAGGAGCTATGTCTAGCTAGAAATAACCAGCAGGAAATATATATCTAGCTAGAAATAAACCACAAGAACTATGTCTAGCTAGCTAGCTAACTAGCAACAAGAAGAACTGATAGCAAGCTAACTCGGAACGTGTGAAGCTACACCGGGCTTACTGAAACCCAAATGAACAATATAGCTATCTGTGTTGAGAGCAAGCTAACTGGAAACCAATGGAACAATATAGCTATCTGTGTTGATAGCAAGCTAACTGGAAACCAACGGAACAACATAGCTATCTATGTTGATAGCAAGCTAACTGGAACCCAACGGAACAATATAGCTATCTGTGTTGATAGCAAGCTAACTGGAAACCAACGGAACAATATAGCTATCTATATGGATAGCAAGCTAACTGGAAACCAAAGGAACAATATAGCTATCTATATTGATAGCAAGCTAGCTCGAAACCAAAGGAACAATAGAGCTATCTTTATTGATAGCAAGCTAGTTGGAAACCAAAGGAACAATATAGCTTTTTATATTGATAGCAACCTAACTGGGAACGTGTGGAGCTACACCGGGCTAACTAGAAACCAAAGAAACAATATAGCTATCTATATTGATAGCAATCTAACTGGGACCCAAAGGAACAATATAGCTATCTATATATATATATATTGATAGCAAGCTAGCTTAGAAACCAACGGAACAATATAGCTATCTATATTGATAGCTGATCAATTTTTATATAGCTATCTAGCACCAATCAGCATTACGTTTAACTCAGTAGGAAACTAGCATATAGTGCATATAGTATATAGCTAATGGTGCCCTCACACCATAGCGATAACCAGCTGCGTATGGTTGCGAATAAAAAATAGTGGTCATAAGTACTGCCGGAAAATTAACACCGGAGAGTACACAGCTATAGAATTAATAGCAAAACCTAGACCAATGTAAAAAAATAGCATCAATAGCCGCGGGCACAACAACGAATAAAAGGCAACAACAACTACAGGCAACAACAACAACTACAGGCGACAACAACTACAGGCAACAACAACTATAGGCAACAAAAACAACTACAGGCAACAACAACTACAGGCGACAACAACTACAGGCAACAACAACTACAGGCAACAACAACTACAGGCAGTAACAACTACAGGCAACAACAACTACAGGCAACAACAACTACAGGCAACAACAACAACTACAGGCAATAACAACTACAGGCGACGACAACTACAGGCAACAACAACTACAGGCAACAACAACAACAACTACAGGCAACAACAACTACAGGTGACAACAACTACAGGCAACAACAACTACATGCGACAACAACTACAGGCAACAAAAACTACAGCCAACAACAATTACAGGCAACAACAACTACAGGCAGTAACAACTACAGGCAACGACAACTACATGCAACAACAACTACAGGCAGCAACAACTACAGGCAACAACAACAACTACATGCAACAACAACTACAGGCGACAACAACAACAACTACAGTGCTGCGTCGGCTGTTCTTTGAGCTCACTGCAAAGTAAGTCTAAATAGTTTCATAAGGCGTTAATTCTAAGTCGTAAACACATAAAATCGTNTACAGGCAACAACAACTACAGGCAACAAACACAACTACAGGCAACAAGAACTACAGGCAACAACAACTACAGGCAGCAACAACTACAGGCAACAACAACAACTACAGACAACAACAACAACGACAGGCAACAACAACTACAGGCAACAAGAACTACAGGCAACAACAACTACAGGCAGCAACAACTACAGGCAGCAACAACTACAGGCAACTACAACTACAGGCGACAACAACTACAGGCAACAACTACAGGCAACAACAACAACTACTACAGGCGACAACAACTACAGGCAACAAGAACTACAGGCAGCAACAACTACAGGCAGCAACAACTACAGGCAACAACAACTACAGGCGACAACAACTATAGGCAACAACAACTACAGGCAACAACAACGACAACAACTACAAGGCACCATGAACGTCACGTACCCCTCAACGACATTTCTCTTCAACGAGAGCGGAGGTGGCGCCACCGACATCAGAAGCCTGGTAGCTGACACTTCCGTGGGCAATCTGATCTACGTCACCTACCTGGTTGTCATGGCTGCCATGGGCAGCATAGGCAACATCATGGTGAGACATCCATCTATCTATCTATCTATCTATCTATCTATCTATCTATCTATCTATCTATCTATCTATCTATCTATCTATCTATCTATCTATCTATCTATCTATCTATCCATATATCTACCTACATGCCTATCTATCTATCTATCTATCTATCTATCTATCTATCTATCTATCTATCTAACTATCTATCTATCTATCTATCTATCTATCTATCTATCTATCTATCTATCTATC